ATAGGCGACGAGTTTCTTTTCGGCAAGGTTGGGGTCGTGTACTAGCGGTTTAACCACAAAAATGTGGCCAACCTTGCATCTTCTACTATACTGCCTATCTATATTTTTTCTATTTTATAGATGATTTATGGATAAAACAAGAGAGAGTTTGGGGTTCCTTGAAAACACACACATACAATCAGTTTTTCGTATGTCTTCCTTTCTGTTTCTTTTTTTATATCTTTTTTTTCCTCATGAAAGTCCAAGTCGTAATAGAGGGTGGATGTGAGGCATCGAGAGACAACCTGAAGTACTCAGTCACGAGAGGATCCGATGGTTGCAAAATCGCTTGTGATTGTCCCCCATAAAACATCATTTTTTCTCTTATTTTAGTCTCGTACAGCAGATCACAACTTGAGCCTCACAACACCGTATCTTAGCATCCCACTAAGTCCCAGGGATAGAGCTACTCTTATCTGCAACCCTTCCAGGGAGCTCACCATATGGACATCTGTAGGCACCAACCTTGCTATGTCATTGGACGCCCTGAACTCCAATGTTTTTTAATATTTTTTTGGTTGTTTAATTAAGCGCATTTTGATTATGCCAAATAGTTGGTTGTTCCTTGTTTGGAGTGCCTACAACACTATTAGGCGGGGAGCTTTGTTGGGGATGTTTGTGCGTCCATGGGTGATGACAAAGACAACTTGAAACGTTCGTTTAAGTGTTCCCCTGACTCAGCAGGTGGTTAAAACCTATAGTCTACAAGGTTCTTCTTGTGGTGTGAGTAGGTTTGGATGACTTTGCTTTGTGTTGGATTTGTGGACAAGGCAACTAAACGAACAATGTGTTGCCTTGTTCAAGTTTGTGTTGCTTTATGCTTCGTTTCGTGGTTTCCTTGCTGTCCATCAATGTGCCTTGTTGTCCTGTACATTTTGTTTGTGTGACATGCAATTTTATCGTTGTTGTAGTGCTGCATTGCGCTTCGTTGTGTTGTTGCTTTGCGGTCCGTTCATGCAATTAACTTTGACGCTTTGTAATTGGGTTGCACCAACAACGTTGGTTGGTGCTTCGCTGAGTCCTTGTCTGCTGCTATACTCCACTTGCATTGTTGTTTGCCAACAGTATGCTTTCAACAAGGGTTAAAGGGTTAATGACCCAAAAGCATCAATATCGGGATTTTGCAGATTATGGAGGATTCATCTTCTTGATAAGTCGGTGCAAGTTTGACAAAACATTTTGTCATAGGCTCATGATCAATCTTTATTTTTTCACTTTTTATTTTTTCAACTTGGTATTTGTACTTTATGTTTTTTTCCTTGTTATGATGATATACCTTTCAAGTTGGTGCTTGTACTTTGTGTCTTTTTAACTTTGTTTAATCATGCCGGGAGGTACACCTTTCGATTGCAGTCATACTGCTAATGCTGTGACCTGCATCGCCTATGGCCAAATCATCATTTTTTTTTTTTCATTTCTTTTTTAACTTCGTACTTGTACTTTGTGCTTTTTCAACTTTGTTAATCATGTCGATACATACATCTTTCCATTTCATCCATACTACCAATGTCGTGACTTGCATTGTCCATAGTCAAATCATCCCCGCATGTAGATGCCAGTGGAATTATATTTTCTCTAGTGTCAAATATTTAAAAATTTTGATTTAGGTATATTGGGTGTAGTCTGTTGATTGAAGCATTGATCCAGAAGCATAATTGGTTGTTTTTTAACCTTTTGTCTCTGAATAAAAACTTTCACCTTCGTCTTGTACTGGATGAGGGGAAAGCAGTATAATCCTTTCGGATTTTTAGTCCATATAACAACAGTTTCATGACAAAGTCTTATGTTGCATCCCTAACCACCATGAAACTGGGCGGACATGCTACGTTGTTCTCCTAAACTCTAGCCTCACTGAGACCGACTGTACTGGGGATAACCTCCTCTTTACAGGAAATAAACAATTAGGACTCATCGAGGTATTTATAACAGTCCACATCTCCATTCTCATTCCATCTCCAGTTTCAAGGCCTATTATTCCTCCATTCTGATTACCCTGGGTTGTTGTGAATAATCATATGTCGATGGTGCATTAAAATACTCATCTAACAATTTTTTTTCATAGAGTGCAATCGCTGAAAGAAGAGCTTCATAATTGTTGTCCATATTCCAATTTTTTCGCAGTAAAAGTTTCAACTCTCCAAGCGATATCCAGTCTGAAAAGTTTGTGTCTCATATATCCTTAATTAAAATTACTCCTTTTTCCATCCATTATTTCCCCAAATTCCCCTTCTCAATATTGGCCCCAAAGGCAGTTCCCTCCGAGTTCATAATGTAAGGATTTTCAAAAATAAATTAATTTATAAGTTCTATATAGGTAGAGGGTTCTCTCATTGGTCCTGACTGAAGTTAACTTCAGGCTAGCAAGATGGTAGACCTGACTTTTGATATGGGTTTTCTATTGGCAAATGAGGGAACTAACAAACAATGTCATATTAGAAGTATCTGCCAATGCCTATTGCGTAGAAGATACTCTGCAAATTTTACCCAAAACTTTGAGCCGTTACAATCCACTTACTTAAAAGAGCATGGTTTTGTTCATGGGGGTCTAAGATCCCAAGCCCCCTAATGATCTAACCAGTGAGATAGCCTCCCAAACAACTTTGAATATGAATCCTTGGATTGGTGATGTATTAACTTCCATAAATAGTGTGTTGCCACATGCTTGATTTTTGTTTAAGCAACTTCTCCCAAGTAATGGATCGACAATAGACACCACAAAAGTGAGATGGTCGCCGAAGTCAACACCAAGGTTTTGCCAAAGAGAGAAAGTTTATGAATATGGATTCAATTTACCACTCTTGTTGTAACTCGGTCAACGAATAAATTGTTTTGTGTATCTGCACAGTTAGCAGTGATACTTTAAGTCTTAAACAACACAAAGCGGGATTTAACGTAGACCCAAAGCCACGAACAAAACATAGGGGGAGGGTCAAAAATAATATTGATCTGTCCCAATTGATTGGCGCTCCATAAAGATCACAATAAACATCCAAGACTACCCTAAGAGCAGTGACCGACAATAATTGTTAGAAATTCTCACGGACTACTGTGAGGTTGTTATCGATAGTATCTGTTTTCCAATAAAGTGAAAAAGAAACTTACAACCCATCTATATTTTTATTATATCTTATGTTGTTTAATAAGGTCTTCAACTGGAGGACGAACAACAAAGGTGCCAAAGGACACCCTTGGCAAAGGGAGGGCATTAATGGAAACTCATATGAAAGTTTCTCATTTAAGAGTACCAACAAAGTGGTTTGTGAGAACATGGTTTTGACTGTGCATATGAACATTGGTCCAAAACCCATTTCCAATAGCATAGCTGAGACAAAAGTCTAGCTTACCTTAACATAAGCCATATCTAATAATAACATTTCTATTTGATATTTATCAACCCCAATTACTTCTAAAGCTAATACTCTCGTCACAATGTTATCGAAGACTCAGATACAAAATCCTATCATAAAGGCACCATG